TTAGCTTTTTAAACACGATTTAGGAAGTTATTTTGCATAAATAAATCAGTATCAATACCGTTGGTTCGTGGTATTCCGCCAGACCAGAAGGAGTAGTAATTTAACAAAATTTTCTGCCCTACAGACACGGGTGGATTGAAGTTATCTCCCCCAACCATCATGTTTGCTGGTCAGTAATGCCACCCTCCCTTCTTTTGTGATGTTAGGCTTTCTTACGTTTGTGGCGAGTATGTATATTGCTTTGATCAAGGTACATAGTTGGAATACACTGTCTCTACTAGTTCCGTGTTACACGCAAATCAGATGGCTAAAGCATTTGTATTATTGGTTAGACATGCACTAAGTACATCATACTGCTCTGAAGATAACTAGTGGTATAAGCTATAGAAGACAGGTCAGACTATATGTGAGTTAGTGGTGGTAAAAAGTAATATAAAATCAAAGGATATGAAAGAGTAGTTTTTTCCTTCTAAATAAATATTATTCTTAAGATTACGAAGCTTTGGATCAAGACAATAAATTGTGTTACGTTGAATTCAACTTATCAGGCTCGTTTTATCTTCACTATGTATATACACCTCATACATATTGATTATCTTTTGCACTTAATTGAGACTTTCATAGCATCACCCAAAACTATGACTGTACACGCACAAAAACTTATTCTAACGTCATGTCTTGCCGTAATAATAAGTTATTTACTTATTAATTTATTCTGTTTTCTTTTATTTTTATTACTCGTTTTTGCTATACATACATAGATGTTTATTCTTGTTCTGCGTTAAGATATTAATGTATTCTGCGACTTCTTTATTGCTATTTCCTTATTTCCTTCCTTTCCTCCTTCAAAATCAATTCAAAATTCTTGCCAATTACACAGAATCTGATTTATTTTTACTATTATTGCTATTCTATTATTAATATTTTATTATTATTTTCCCTCCTTTCTCAAACATGGCATATGTGATGCTAACCTTATTGAAAACTGTGTATTATTGCATTTTTGAAGAAACCCGAAATGGTTCCTTCACAGCACTTATGTACTCATAAGGTGTTTGTGAATAATAATAATAATAATAATAATAATAATAATAATAATAATAATAATAATAGAATTTTCAGTGTAAGAAAAGTAAAACACTGAGAAATTCACAAGAATTTAGGACATTTTGAACTTCTTTTAATCGGTCTTGGTTGACCAACATACATAAGATTAGTGATTTGACTGTCTACTTGTTATAAAAAAAGAATGACAGGACATTTAAAAAGAATAATGTATCTTTAGCCAATAGAAATACGCAGAATCTGAAGTGAGGGTTAAGAGTAGAAGGTCATGATTAATAATCAGTGAATAGTGAGAGAGGATAAAGCTATTGCAGAAATATATTATTATTTGTTCAGTAATTTTTCATATTCATACTAATAACAATAGGGTTCGTTATATTCTTGTTCCGTCTAGATATTAGGCGGTCCATAATGAAGTGCCTCATTGGTGGGCGTGAGTTCAAGGGATAGTTGATGAAGCTCTTTGATATCTAGTGACAAGGTTATTAAACTTTTGAAGTTGGCGTCACACTTACGGAAAGGTATTGAAAACCTGTTTCGAGAGAAGACCACGTGCATCGCCACCTGACAACTGCAGTCGATTGAAATCTACAGTCTATTGTTAAAACTTACCCTGAGTAAACAAATATTTCCGGACAGCAATTTGGGATATGATCAGGCAGCTCGGATTCCTTTAAGAAAAAAAAACTGATATTTCAGAGTCACCTAAATCAAGAATGCTCATTTCATACTCACTAATCCTAAGTCAACACTATCACTAGTTATAAGGGTTTTTAGATTACTCCTTAAGGCATTGTCTTCACGATCACTCATTATGACTGATAAAATTAATGAGACTATCGACAAAACCAGGGTTGACAGACTGACTTATAACTGGCGTAACGACCGAAATGCCAATATTCGATCTAAACGCAGAGCTAACGAACCAAACTTTATCCGATTGGGCCATACAACCCTCTTCTGTACAGCATATGAAGCGGTTTTCGTACTGAATTATGTCAAAATAAAAACACTGTGTTCAATTTATTCGGTCCTAATTTAAGAAAGATGACAAATTTTGTCAAGAATACAAAATATCTAGAACGATACAGCCTGCCCTAACAGTCAGGGGTTTCTCAAACACAATCTAGCGTGCTAAACAACAAAAGGGACAGTTGATAAACAAGAGTTTGGTACTTGAGAATCACCAAAAGTATTCACAACACTATGAAATCAAATATCCAACTGCAGGAATCCTAGCAACCTTACAAAGCGAACAGTCGAAGGTAGCAGTCATACACTGAAACACGCCGCTAACTTAAACATAGTAAAACATAACCAGACAAGAAAGACTCAAGAAAATAAATTGTGGCAGGAGAAGGAACAAATGAGTGACGTACTGTTCAGTGAAATTCTGTGGAGGGATTTTTAGCATGTTCTTTCCCTTACAACTATCATTAAATAGTGCTGTTTCCTAGTGGTTGTCTTTATCTAATATAGATGATTTCGGTATATTTCTTTATCACGTGCTCATTAAGTAAACATCTTTATAAGTTTACCAGTCTAATTGGAGGTTTAGTGACACAATCATACATACTAACCATCAACATAATTAATCCATCAAATCCCCTGCAACCTGAAGACATCACTGTTGAACTTCCCCCAACACTAACAGAGATACATGCTATCGTCTTAGACATGATTTGGGAGTTGTCCTACCCTTGGTTCTAACTTATGCTGCCCCAAATAATCACATGATCAACACTTATTGCTTATCATCTCGTAGAGATTTGTGCAGCCGAGAGCATCATACAACACCATGTCACCCATATGTGTGGCATATAAACTTTGTCAATTTCAATAACTTGTAATCAATCTGCTTCAAATAGGTCAAATTCTACCTTTTGCGAAAATCCGTATTTGAAACCAACTTGTGTGTGCCATCAACCGGTATGCATGGATATGAATAATTCGTTTATCGCACATCAAATCAATGATTGTAGAACACATTTCTCACTGACCCACTCATATTTAATGAACTTCTGTCAACCATCTGTCCGAAATTAACATGAATACCACTATTTTAACACATTAAAAAGATTTTTAATAACACTTTTATATGCATTAGTAGTTTTATTAAATTCTATGACGGTTAAACAATAAGGAGGTCGAGAAAATCTCCCTGTGACTAAGTAAACCGTAGTAAACTTAACAAACTAATTGGAACACTAGTTGGAATTCTTCTTCCCCGTCGTTATACCTCTGTTTCTTATGTTAGCCGATTATTGCAGATGTAGTTCGGAATCAACCCATTTTGGCAGCATAAAGGCATAATCGTTAACTACCTCTCTAATTTAGACATAATATAATACCGCTATCAATACTGATACAACTTTGATTGTTCTTCTACTTCTAAGCAAAAAATATTTATACTTCTCACATGTTAAGCTATTAACCAGCAAGATAACTATGAATCTTGATGTAACTTGTTAAAATGTTTTTATACTAAATCACTGTTCATTATTATAATCCTGCCTTGTTTAATTCTTAAATAATATTCACGTAGATTTTCATTCGGAGTGTGTTCAGAATTAAACCAAAAATTTCGGAATTATTACATGTGCTACCATCTTTTTTGGATTTACCTTCGGTTGATCAACACCCAGATGGTTCTTATTATTCTTTTGGTGACCTCTGAAGCTCGATTATCTACTCGATTTGGTATCTAGCCGACATCACGTTGATTCTAGTTAAAGAGTAATGTAGTGGCATCGGTTCTTAATTACACGGATTTTGGAGCTGAGCGTATAATTGCTGAGATTTCTTTTCAACATTTAACATAAAGAAGGCTTCAACAAAGGTGAACGCAGCACCAATGAGTGGAAGTGGCATGGCTCTGTTATACAGGCGCAGCCGTTCTATATAACCTCTTGCATTTTGGATCAAATATATTACTCTCTTTCGAGCTCAAATGTGTTCATTAGAAGTGCTAGACGTCATATTACTGATTGTCACGATAGGATGAGTCGGTGTAGAGAATGTTATGACTTGCAAGCGAAATCTTATAGATAAGGTAGTCATATCATGACAAATCTACAATTTTAAGATCAGGTCTATTATTATACTAGCAAAGATAATTGAACGAATATCGAATTAGACAATAATCTTACAGATCCGCCATTACTGCAACCAGCTGTTAGGAGCTATGTAATCATCACAAAGCTAGATGTCAGCAGAATGCCTCTTGTAGGTCAGTTGGATTGATAAAGTCTGAGGACATTTGTAGGTATTCAATTTAGCATCTTACCGAACTGTTCTTCGACAATAATATTAAATTATTGACCAAGACCTGTAGGAAATGAGAAGATGAGAATTCCTTTAGAGTCAACATTGTATACTGCAAAGGGCATTAATAGAGTCCCATATTGTATCAGTAAAAGGCTTGGACTGTTAAAAACATCAATACACTTATATGTAGGCAGTGCAAATTTTTAGAGTTATATCCATTGAGACTGATAAAGCTTTAAACTGGTTCATATGGGCCTGTTAGATGTTTAAATATTATTTTTTAGAAATAAACCCCAGCGAGAGTGAAAGGATGCATTAGTATCAGCCACTGAAAACCTTATACAAGTCGGTCGATCTAAAAACATTATTACTGAAAACTGATGTTCAAATTCGTTTTTTGTTCTCGTAACATATGATTAAGCTCCAAAAAGCATAGTTTCAGGATAAACATGATTTATATTTAGAACTAAAGTGAGAACAAGTGAAGCAAAAACTGTGACCGATGTTGCACAATCACAATAGCAACCCAGTTACTGGACGTCCAAAAGCACGGTTTTTTAGTTTACATTGCTTAGATTCTGATCAGAATATTTGTGTGAAACCGAAGAACGGTTTTTTCCCATTATATACAGAATTACAAATATTAAATTTATTTTGTTTTACTGTTTCACGATTGTTTTCGTTTGTATGTGTTTATTCAATAGGTCGGTTTCCGCATGAGAATCAAACATAGAATCAAGCATTCACCATTCACTGAATGCAGATATCGTACTGCATACATATCAACTTACGCAGCCTTTGTCTTTTTGACCATAGCTTTTGTCACGCCATATTGGTTACAATCATGGCCTAGACTTCATACACCTTTTGTCCGCTTGGGACTGTGGGAATTTTGTGTCAATGGTTTTGTGCAACGTCTAGATCCCAATATGGTTTCTTACTACGGTTGCTGGTGGATTCTTTCTCCATATATGCGAAAAATATTCACGGATTTGGTTCCATGTACGTTTAATTTACCTAAATGTTCATCGTGAAATGGATTAATTTTAGTTTGGTTTTTGATCATCCAAGTTATGGTGACAGTATCTCTATGTCTACAAATAGTGGCAGTGGTCACTCTTATTGCCTACATGTGCAAAAGGATAAGACATGTAGAACGTCAGTCGTTCTTTATCTCGCTCATTACGTTCTGTCATTCTTGCTCAAGTAAGTATTTTCAGATCTTTGATCTTTTGTGAAAATTCATTGAGTATTTTTATGCTTTCAAATGAGTTTTCCTCTTCTAATTTTGTTTTTGTTACTTGATTGAAGCAGTTGGTTTTCTCCTATTTTAACATGGTATTACAATTTGATCCAAATAGACATTTTTCAGACCGTCGATTTTCATTATTTCTTATGACTCAGTTTATTAAAGTGTCTTCCTCCTACAAATGAAACCCAACGTTATCATCCGGTTGAATTTTCTTCATAACTCTCCCTCTTATACTGTTTCGGTAGACGAACATTAGACGCAATTGTGGTCATTCATATAAAGTTGATTTCTACAGGGACATATAAGTACAGTTTTATGGAAATATGTAACTGTTCATGATATGGGTTGACTACAAATATTCAAAATATAGTTTATTACACAAAACTCATTTTGGCAAGCTTTTGTCAGCCAAGAAGAAAAACACTAATAATCTGATTTTCATATAAAGTCCGTTATGCTGGTAGGTTATATAAGGTTCAGTACTACGTAGATATAGTTCCACTTCATATTTGAACCTTTGGAGGGCCAAAATTATGTAACTTTAAGTTTTCTATAAGTATTGGCCACATTTTTGCTTGTTACGTTTCGCCAGTGTATAAAATAATTCTTGAACATATAATGTCTTCATTCGGCTTGACGCTTAAAGCACAGAGGTTTAACCAAATACAGTGCTGCACTGCCCAAATATGTTGGCGAAATTGCTACTTTCATGTCTATTGTGATCAAATGTGGTGCTATACTGTCTGTCAAACACACTAAGAATTATAGTTTAAATTCTGATTAACAAAACTAATTCCTCGATCCATCAATTTGTAAAACTATTCAAGCATTTATATGTACGACCCTGGTACTGATATTAATAAAAGTCCAACTATCAGTTAACCCATAACGTATTGTAGTGTACCTATGCACTATAAATAACAATAATTAATATTTTTGAATTCAAAACAATTAGGCTAAATCCTTTCTTGACAAACTCGTGGTAGTTGTCATGGTCATAATTAGTCAAATCACATGCTGAAGTTGACTTCCAGAAACAAAACACATACTGTGATACTTCTTCATATTGAAAAATCTTGGAAAATGGCTTCACCGCTGCCAGGTATAGCTGCTTTCAAAGCTTCAGAGAAAATGCACGAGTGTTTTCTAATATTTAGCAGAAGAGTAGGACATTAATAGTTGAAACTACCTTGATTTAGACTTTATTTTCTTTGTAGATATTTATTTTACCATAATACACTGGCTTTTACAACTATTCTGCAAACTATACTAAATTAAGATTGTAAAAGCCTAGTGACACTGTTAGCATAAAGTAAATTCTGTTTTTGTTATTATTAAAATGTAGCTTGTTTTATTTAGTGTATTGATATTATATAGTTTAAGTGCAAATTATGGAAGGATTTGTGAGAAGGCCAGCTTTAGAGTTACAGTTGTTCAAAAAATTCATCATAATAAAGGGAATAATGTAAACATTTTGTCAGTGTAATGAAGTTCTTAAAAAGATATAAGTCTTCGAATCTTTAGTGTTTCGAGTACCTCTAAAGTGGGCTCTCATCAGGTGTTGTGGGCGAGATTAAAGAATATACTTCTATCACTTTTATGATCTTTCTTAATAGCATGTTGTGTGTTGGATAAATCTCGTTGTCTGTCTAGACAGTAGCACTTACATTTTTCAATGATTTTTATAAGTTCGGGTTAAAAATAAGAGAAATCGGTAATGGTTCTCACACGAGACTAGATGTAGCTTGACTAGACGGGTTGAAAGAATGTAAAACAAATCTGACAGTCTCATGGATCAATACGGTAAGAAATGGGACTTTTATGGGAGCTTTTACACCTTAAAAAAGAGAATGAAATAGACAGATGTCGCAATATATTTATGGAATTTCCAAGATATTCTGATGATAATTGTAATTATCTAGCGCTGCTACGTCAAATGATAATGATATGAGTGAGGTCATACTAATAACGTTTGCTCGGACAACCCCAAATAATTATGTTATTAATTTAAGTCAGCCTCAACTGAGTGAAGTTAGTAAAATATATTCTGCGTTTGAAAGGCTTAACTTCGGGCTATTTGTCTTTTGATATTCAACATTATGAGTTCAACCTGATTTCAAGTCACTTTCATCAGTTATCTCGAGTTCATTAAACCTTTAAACATACAAGAGTGTATTATCTGCTTCATTGTAATGAATTGCAGATAAATCATCACAAATGATTTCGTAGTTCAGATAATTGGCTACAAACATTCATTTTAAGGCAAACCTTAAAAAAATTTAGAAGTCATGCTTTTAATAAAATAAATCATTGGTATTTGTTTACCTAAATCAGTGTCATATTGTTCTAAAAAATTTCTACCCTAAACTACACGACGTGAATCATGCACACAGTTTAAATAAGTATTTTCGTACTTCTTATTCAGATATATGTGAAATAAATGCTCGTCTTACTGTGGTGTGGATTACTTATATCGACATAAGTAGTATATATCGTGAGTAAGGAATAGAATATCTGACAGCTGAGGATTGAGAAGATCAAGAAGAGAAGAACAGAAATAAAAAGCAATTGGTGTTGAAATTCTGGAACAATGAAGCCTGATACAATTAATGGGCATTTCGCGAATAGAGTATCAGAGTATGGTTTTTGTATTTTATCAAGAAACTTTGTAATTCGTGCGAATAGCTGTTTAGTTGTCCTCGCCTGTATTTTTTCATTCACTACATTACCACCATATCAGTGACAATATTTCAACCGTGATGCTGAACAACACTATTCTGATTCCAAGAAAAACCATCAATTTTCTCAGTCACAGATATATCAGTTTAACAGCTATGAAACTTAGATTTCTGATACTTAACTAATTCTTTTTTAATTAGTTAACATTAGATAATATTGTGTTGTTTTCATTTTTTTCATAGCAATTTTAATATTTATATCAGTGGTTATTTTCGGTGTAAATTATCAAACCGAAACTTGGATGCCTTATCCTACATTGAATTGGCCATCATGGTCATATGGATTTGCAATTCTTTCTGGCTTCTCTTCATTACTATCAGCTATATCATTTGGTCTGTTCAATAAAGAATTACGTCGAGATATTCAAACACTAGTATTAGAATTTCCAATGAGTACCAAAATTAAAACACGACGTCGATGGAAATTAATAAAACGTCATTGGCCAGAAGAAGCTTTACCAGTTAAACCGACAGATGAAGCAAAATCCACATTTCTATCAGGACAAAATTATCAATCACGTTCTGATTTGGAAGTACCAGTAGGATCTATGGAAAGATTCAGTGAAGAATATAGTTTCAGTGAAAGTAGTGGAAATAATTTAGTTCGTGATAATCGAAAGATTAAAAATTATCATGATAGTAATCGACAAGACTCTGAAATTTAAAGAGTATATACTTTATTAATTGTAAAAAAAGGTTTACTTTAATTTCTTTATAATTTAGTATATTTTTTTAAAACAATAATATATCTCTATTGAAACCCTGATATTATTTTTTCTTTTGTTAAGTCGTCAGATTAAAAGGTCCTACAATTCATAGATGCCCCCAAATGCCCTGGTACGGCCGAGAGTGGGGAGAGTCCACTCTCCCTCTCGAAATCCTCTAACATGGCCGCGCGTATATAGCTTCTGCCACAGAAGTCCTACTCACTGCCTTCTCGTGACATTACTGTTGTCTACGAAATTGAGAGGACGAAAAGCGTATGTCCGACGCTTTAACCGGGCTGGTGGACACGGAAAGTCAACCTAGGGGAGTTAGGAAACCCTGATTTCAAATCAATGGAACACATGGGCTCCAGTATCTTAACGGAACAAATGGTGTATGAATCAATCGTTAGTCACCGGCTACCATGGGACTGCATCTCCTTACGATGCTCCACTGCCTTGTGGATCAGACCTTTAGGTCCGAGTGTGGTCCCCTAAGAAAATCACCTGCTTCAGTTTGGGCACCTGGGCAGTATCACAGCCCTCACACAAATTAAATGAGATTTGTGCGGCGCATATATATCTGGTGCTTCCTTGTACCAATATTTATGTGTATAAATAAAAAATAAAAAAATTCATAGATCCAAATTAATAATCCGAAAACTGGCCAAGTTAACGACAAAGTACATCGTTTAAAGCTTAAAGATGAGGTACCTAGAATGACCACCTGATTTTGTATTTATCAGTTCGACTGCTAATGTGGAGCAAGTTATATTGGTTGAAGTTCTAGGAATTTACATTTTCGTGCTTGTGAACACCTCCAAACGTGGCTAAGCAAAAGTTTGGTGGAGAAAGTAAATAGCTTGATGTTGGCCCATTTAGTACAAACTGGTCATAATGCCAGTATAAACCAAATCTTTTCAATTAATAATACGGCCAGTAATTTTTTGCCAAAGCTTGTCATGTTTAAAGTCCTTTAAACGGCGGAGGCAGTAGCCATCAGGATGAATAAACCGGAGCTATGCGTACAGAAGAAATATCTCCAACCCCTGCTCTTCCCTTTGCCAACCACATAGCCAATTAATCAATAGTAATCCTAGCTATTGGATGACCTAATTTGACTATGTACTTACGACCTTTCGTAGTCAAATGTAATCGTCTCTTTTATCTTTATTCACAAATTTTTGTATCTCCCCTATACATGATTCATTCACTTCGCATTGATCCTTCCTTATTACGTCTTACTAATTTTTCACACAATTTAGTTTTCCACTTGATCGAATTGTAATTGCACTATCATATCTCTCTTACCCTATCTGACCCATATTTATTCTGATCACTTAACATATATACAGATTCAAGTTAACATTCTATTTGGTTTGACAATCCTAAATTTACATGCTTCGTGGATTGGTTGAAGTTAGACATTAACACCGTTGGATATCGGCCAGCTCAGTGGTCTATCGGTTAAGGGCTTCTGCTCGAGACTGGTAGGTCCTGGGTTCGAATCTCGCGAGTGCGGGATCGTGGATGCGCACTGCTGAGAATTCCCATAATAGAACAAAACAGCCGTCCAGTGCTTCCAGGTTTTCCATGGTGATCTAGCTTCAATTGACCCATGATTTCAACTATGAAAATCCAAAATATACATGCTTTAAACAATGCACTTTGCCTTTAACTTGGCCATTTTTTCGGATTATTATTAATTTGGATATATAATTGTAGAACCTGAAAAGAGAATTTATTGAAAAGAATATTCTTCGTTCAAATATTAGTATTTTAATATGATGGGGTTCTTTAAACGATTAAAATCCTCAGATGCTTGGAACCTATAAACATCTAAAATCAGAATTACAGTTTTCGGGTTAAAAATACTTACAAAAATGAATTTGATCAGATAGTTAACATAAACATGTATCAGCATAGTACTCCTAAAGATTTAAATCAGTTCCAGGGGACCAATGTAACCCACCCTACAAAAGCAAATAGACTTTTAAATGTATAATGATTCAGCTCAAACGTATTGTAGAGAAGTTTATATTTAACAACCTAAGTGAAAATGTTCTAAAGTCAATATACGGAATAGATATTGGCGAATATTTGTAGCTTAAGATGAGGAGAACTCCGCCTGTAGCTCCTCTGGGGGTTACTGCCGGTCCCAAGCCCGGGTAAAGGAGGAGGGTTGGGCATGGGGTTAGTGACCCCATCCCGTAGAAAATCAACTCGCTAAAAAACGCTAACCAGAAAAAATCATTCAAACCTTTCAAACTCTGCCCTGGTAGTAGAAGGAATAATTATGACGTCTCATGATGAAAGCCGAGTTCATTCGGAAGTCATGAGGCCGATGCACCTTCTTACAACCAGAGCGAAAATTTTTATAGGTACATGGAATGTCCGAACAATGTGAGAGACCGGAAGAGTTTTCCAAATTGCTGCAGAAATGAGAAAATACAACCTGGAGGTTCTTGGAATCAGCGAAACACATTGGACGCAGGTTGGACAACAACGACTGTCTTCAGGAGAACTTCTGTTATACTCCGGTCATGAAGAAGAAAATGCCCCAATTACACAAGGAGTTGCATTGATGCTGTCCAGAAAAGCACAAAATGCACTTATTGGATGGGAATCTCATGGACCAAGGATCATCAAAGCCTCCTTCAGAACAAAGAGAGAGGGCATTATAATGAACGTCATACAATGCTATGCGCCTACCAATGACTACGATGAAGACGCTAAAGACCAATTCTACGATAGGCTGCAGTCGATCGTCGAGAAGTGCCCAACCAAGGACCTGACAATTCTGATGGGAGATCTCAATGCTAAGGTTGGAATGGACAACACTGGATACGAAGACGTCATGGGACAATATGGACTGGGAGGAAGGAACGAAAACGGTGAGAGATTTGCAAACCTATGTGCCTTCAATAAACTGGTCATAGGTGGCACCATATTCCCACACAAAAACATACACAAAGCCACTTGGATTTCACCGGATCACACTACACAGAATCAAAACGACCATATCTGCATCAACAAAAAGTTCAGGAGGACGATGGAGGATGTGAGAACCAGAAGAGGAGCTGATATAGCATCCGATCATCATTTGCTGGTCGCCAAGATGAAACTAAAACTCAAGAAGCAGTAGACAACGGCGCGGACAACATCACAAAAGTTTAACACGGCCTTTCTTCGAGATGCTGACAAACTCAACAAATTCAACATAGCCCTCAGCAACAGGTTCGAGGCCTTTCATGACCTACTCAATGGAGAGGGGACTACCATGGAGAGCAAATGGAAAGGTATCAAGGAGGCAATCGTTTCAACGTGTCAAGAGGTTCTGGGCCAAAAGAAGCTCCATCACAAGGAATGGATCACTGTTGGTACACTGGATACGATTGAAGCAAGGAGGAACAAGAAGGCAGCAATCAATGTCAGCCGAACCAGAGCGGAAAAAGCCAAGGCACAAGCCAAATACACAGAGGCAAACAAGCAAGTGAAGAGAAGCATCAGAACCGACAAACGTAAATATGTGGAAGATTTAGCAACGACAGAGGAAAAGGCTGCAAGAGAAGGAAACATGAGACAACTGTATGATACAAGAAAGAAACTTGCTGGAAATTACCGTAAGCCAGAAAGACCAGTGAAAAGCAAGGAAGGCAAAGTAATCACCGACATTGAAGAACAACGAAACAGGTGGGTAGAACACTTCAAAGAACTCTTGAATCGACCAGCCCCACTGAACCCACCCAACATTGAAGCAGCACCCACAGACCTCCCAATCGATATTGGCCCACCAACAATTGAAGAGATCAGCATGGCCATTAGACAAATCAAGAGTGGCAAAGCAGCGGGACCAGACAACATCCCGGCAGAGGCACTGAAAGCAAATGTAACAGCAACTGCCAAGATACTCCACATCCTCTTCGATAAGATTTGGGACGAAGAACAAGTACCAACAGACTGGAAAGAAGGACTTCTCATCAAGATACCAAAGAAAGGCGATCTAAGCAAGTGCGACAACTACAGGGGCATCACTCTCCTCTCAATACCAGGAAAAGTCTTCAACCGAGTATTGTTAAACAGGATGAAGGATTCCGTGGACGCCCAACTTCGAGATCAACAAGCTGGATTTCGTAAGGATAGATCGTGCACAGATCAAATCGCAACTCTGCGGATCATTGTGGAACAATCAATCGAATGGAATTCATCACTCTACATCAACTTCATCGACTACGAGAAGGCATTTGATAGTGTGGACAGGACGACACTATGGAGGCTTCTTCGACACTACGGCGTGCCTGAGAAAATAGTCAATATCATACGGAACTCCTATGATTGACTAAACTGCCAAATCGTCCACGGAGGACAACTCACCGACTCGTTTCAAGTAAAGACCGGTGTTAGGCAAGGTTGCTTACTCTCACCCTTTCTCTTTCTCCTGGTGATCGACTGGATCATGAAGACGTCAACATCTGGAGGAAATCACGGGATACAGTGGACAGGCAGGATGCAGCTTGACTATTTAGACTTCGCGGATGATCTGGCTCTTTTATCACAAACGCAACAACAAATGCAGGAGAAAACGACCAGTGTAGCAGCAGCCTCAGCAGCAGTAGGTCTCAATAGAAACAAAGGGAAAAGCAAGACTCTCCGATACAACACAATATACACCAATCAAATTACACTTGACGGAGAAGCTTTGGAGGATGTGGAAACCCTTACATATCTGGGCAGCATCATTGATGAACACGGTGGATCAGATGCAGATGTGAGGGCGAGGATCGGCAAAGCAAGAGCAGCATACCTACAACTGAAAAACATCTGGAGCTCAAACAATTGTCAACCAACACCAAGGTTAGAATTTTCAATACAAATGTCAAAACAGTTCTACTGTATGGGGCGGTGACGTGGAGAACTACGAAAGCCATTATCCAGAAGATACAAGTGTTCATCAACAGCTGTCTACGCAAAATACTTCGGATCCGATGGCCAGACACTATTAGCAACAAGTTACTGTGGGAGACAACAAACCAGATTCCAGCAGAGGAAGAAATCAGGAAGA